TAGGGCAAAAAGTGAAAGGAAGAAAAGGGCTACTATAACATGGGAGTAAACATAAATCACTGACTTTAACTGTGCTAGATATAGATTTCTTTAGAAAAAAATTAATCTGTCAAATAATTTTATTCGCTAACAACAGTGAGTCTCCACCTGCAATCTGGATTTCGTCTGAAAAGAGACAATTGCTGCTTTAGGTATTGTTTTAAAAGTAGGTCGTCAAGATCTTTTAAAGTCAAGTTTATTTAAAATTTCACTTGAGTAAGAGTTTTTGTTTTTAAAAGAAGTGTGCTTCCGCCTGCTTCGGACACTAATGCTTTGTTGGATACAACTCAAGCAGAAATTGTTTCGTTTTACAATGATCATTCTAAATCCTTCACAGCCAATGTTTTATTACAACTAGAAATTACACCTTGTATTTAAAACACTTGGCTGAAAATGTATCTTGGCATCAAAACAATTCACAGTACCAAGGAGAAAGAAAAGTTATCTTTTTCACAAAGTGAGTATGTGACTAGAGAAGGTAACAATTCAGGAGGTATTCAGCATTAACTTAGAAGATCTGCTGACTCATATAAATGTATAGCAATAGAATTGTGTCAAAAACAATTAGTAAACTAATAAATTGTGCATGATTTCTAGTTGTCAAGTATATGAAATCACTAGCAAAGATATGACAAGGCAAAGAAAACTTGGTAGTTTAAGATCAATTTCAACTCAGTTCCCCCATCAGCACCAAAATCACCTTTTAAATTAAATCACCTTTAAAAATTAAATATGCATTACCTCTGAATTACGAGAGACTCATCATTTCAGGGTATTTTAAAAATTGAATGAAGTAAGGAAGATATTCCTGTCAAAAGACTAACATTTACTAATCACATGGGCCAGATTTTTGTATGTCCATTTTATTTAATCTTCAAAACAAATTCTATAAAGCAGATTAGTAGTATTTATTTTGTGGGTGACAACGTTGAGATACATGTTATTAGGTAGCTGGCCAACAAAACACACAGCTAAATACAGGAGGGGAGTTGGAATTTCATCCTGGCTTCATCCCACACACACCATTAAACTACAGTATAACAAAAGGTTTTCATATATTTCCAACTACAACTCAAAAACATATCATTTTCAAAATAATTCAGTATATGCCCCTGTATAATCATAAAATGTTTCATAAGAAAATACATGTAATGCCATCTGATATTTTCTTCTCTATTCTGCTCTATCCATTCTGTAAATTCTGTTTCCCACTCTCTAGACTGATATCACAGATTACAATGGGTTGCATCCACACTTCAGTAAGTGCTGTTATTTTTAAAAAGTATGTTAATTAGTTAAGTGGTTGTATATAAGTTGGATTTGGGGGACAAAATAGCACAGTGGAAAAAATTCAAGCTCCAAAATGTGTCAAATTTAAGGTCAATTCTTATCTTAAATATTCATGAAAAATTTGAACAAGTTACTTGACTTCCTTATGATTCATTTTCCAATCAGTAATCTGGCAATAATAACATAAATTGCAAGGGATTATTGTGAGGATTAAATGAGCTAATCCACATGAAGTGTTTAGAACACAATCCAGGATGTGGCAAAGACTCAATAAATCATAGCTATTAGGGAATAAAGTATAACATCTTACAGGATAATTTTTTCTCAACTGAAAAAAATGTTATGTCATATGGCTAAATCTCTCAGTACCTGGATTCATCTTAGACATAAAATTGTCTGATTTATTATATCTGTTTGCCATAAATTAATAATAGATTATGTTATTTTCCTGTACCTGCCATCTTTGCTGGGCTAGTGTATAATGTATCTATTCATATTGTTCAAATAATGTTGATAAAATTACAGAACCCAATATATCTTGGAGCATTTTTTGGGGTTCTTTTTAATTGAAGTATAGTCAGTTTACAATGCTGTGTTAATTTCTGGTATACAGCATCCTGATTCCATTTTATATTTATATATATATACACACACACACACACAAACACACATACACATTCCTTTTCATATTCTTTTTCATTATAGGCTATTACAGGTTATTAAATATAGTTCCCTGTGCTACAGACCTTGCCATTTATCTATTTTATATACAGTAGTTAGCATATACATATTCCAAACTCCCAGTTTTATCCCTTCACCCTGCCTTTCCCCATTAGTAACCACAAGTTTATTTTCTACATCTGTGAGTCTGTTTCTATTTTGTAAATAAGTTCATTTGTCTCATTTTTTTTCAGATTCCACGTATGAGTGATTTTCTTACTCTTTAAGTAATCTAGCTATTCATAAGTTACAGAAAAAAATGTATTAAGCAATTTCCATCTGTCTAATATTTTAAGTAGCCCAAATGTCTGTTTACAGCACCTATAAATAAAATTACAAATCTAGGAAAGAAATATAAAATTAAGATTAAGAAATTATAAAGACTCTGCCTCCTAATTCTCCATCTCCCACTAAAGGATCTTTCCTCTTACTTCCAAAATTGAGATAAGACGTTTATTTCAACTGCCTCCTTTTCCCATTCTTCAAAATCCTTCTTCCCAAATAAGTCAACTCTTACTGTATACATGTCAGTTCTGATACACATATCTAGACATGTGCAAACTCCAAAATCCACACCATTTTAAAGCAGAGGTTTTCAAACAAGTTTTCAATTTATAATCACTTCAGGGGAGTTTTAATAATGCTTTTGCCTGTCTTCCTGCTCTATAGTTCTGATAAATTGGTCTAGGGTAAGCTCTGAGAATAGAGAATTTTTTAAAAACTCCCCAGGTAATTTTAACGTGCAGTCAAGCTTGAAAACCACTGTATTAAAGCATTCAGCATGCTTCCCCAAGGCCTGCTAGGCAGAGATTGGATCACAGTTCTATGGATGAAGCTGCCAAACTGGCAACTGCAACTGTCATTTCTTTGTTTAGGTAAAGAAAATCAACACAGCTTACCTTCCCTCAAGCTTTCTCTTAACTCCAATAGAAATCCAGACAGAGGTATTTAAGAAGAGAGATTTTTCTGTGGAAGTTCTTTTTCTTCTCGAGTTTTCAAATTATAACTATCTAAACTGAGTATCTGGCAAAAGTAAGATTAAACAACATTCTGGTTGTTCCAAAGAAGAATCTCCTGTCAAGGTAAGTGGTACTCAGAAATATATATGTCAGTATTTTGACTTTGGAATTCTAACTTTTGCTCATATTCTCAATCACATCATTCTCACGGTGCAGTATGTATATGTGTATATGTATATACATATATATACATATACACACATACACACACAGAGAGAGAGAGATACACACACACACACATATATAAATGGAATATTATTCAGCCTTTAAAAAGAAGGAAATACTGTTATTTGCAACAACATGGATAAAACTGGAGGGCATTGTGCTACATAAAATAAGCCAAAAACAAAAAGACAAATACTATATGGTATCACTTATACATGAAATCTAAAATTTTTAAAAAGCCAAACCCATAGAAACAGAGAGTAGAAACAGGGGCTGTGGAGTGGAGGTGAAATGGGAGAGGTTGGTAAAAGGGAACAAACTTTTTGTTATAAGATAAATAAAGTCTGAGGATCTAACATATAACACAATGACTATAGTTGATAACACTGATTGTATCATTGAAATTTGCTGAGAGTAGAACTTAAATGTTCTCACTATATATATACATATATATATATATACACATATATATATGTGTGTATATATATATATGTAAGGTGATGGATATATTAACTCAGTGAGGGAAATCCTTTCACAATGTAACATATATCAAATAATAATGTTATACACTTTATGACTTTGTCAGTTATATCTCAATAAAGCTTAAAAAAATGTAAAGATTCAAGCTACCTAAAAAACTCAGATGTGTTTTAAGAAAAAAGTATTGGCAGTGGTAAAGCTAACCAGGTCTTCAAAATTTCTGAAAGACTGTGTCAAGAACATCATGTTGACTGGTTGCACAATTTACATCCAATTTACATCCAATCTATTGACTTTTTTAGTGATATGTTTTAATGGTCTCTAAAGCCAATCATGAATAGAAGAGACTCAAACACAAAGATTTGCATTTCTATTGTTTTTGTATGAGTTGAGTTTTTAATGTATTTTTAAATTGTCTGTCAAGAGAACATATTAGAAAAAAGTAATTTTAAGGTGGTGACCTCATGAACATACAACTGTAGAATCCACGGACCTCTCTTCCTGTGTCATTTTCAAGGCTAGTATAGATGATGGACACCCCTATGACCCCAAGGCAATCTGTCATCATGGTGTGATTGGATTTACCATGTACTTGTGATATATTGCTGATAACCATAGTCAAATTAAGGACAAAACCTCTTTTTTCCTAATTCAGACACTGATGGACAACAATTGGCTTTTGGGAATGTCTTGTGGGGAAAAAGAATATCAAGGCAATAATACCTTCTAGAGTGTTGTTAAAAAAAGATACACATCGCACAAATATTTTACCTTCAGATAAATCTAACAGAGGAATTACGTTTTTAAAAAAGATAATTACACTAAGAAGTTATTTTTGACAACAATCTGGTCACATTGACACTATCCTGGTCATGTATTTACAGAAATCTGTACTAATACCAAAAGCACACTCAAATAAGTATGTCTCTCCAAAGCAGTCACTGCTAGAGGCAAGAAGGATTTTCCAAAAATACTCTTATTTTCAAAATGTATTTGAAAAATTATCTAGGACTTATCTTTCATTAGATGTGAATGAAAATAACAAGTCCTGTCACTTTGTTATAAAATATCACAAACATAACAATATTGCTGTGTATATAAGCTGCTTCCTTTCTTCAAAATTTCAAGCACATCTTTGAAGGTGGTAGTGCCATTTCTTTGTCATATCACATAATATGTACTAGAATCCTTTCAAATTTTTTATTTGGAATTTTAAAAATAATAACGTTGATCAATTTGACTAACCATGGACAATCATTGGCTTGCTTTCAGAGACAAGACTAAAGGATGAAAAAATTAACTTTCATCTTCAGCCTATTGGCTCTTGTTGCACATTTTACGGTAAGTTTCCCTAGTCTTAAATATTCTTGATATATTTCTTACTAATTATAATTTCAAACAAAATTTTGATACCTATTTGTCATCCTTCTTTACAGAACAATATAGTAACAAAATGTCAATCATTATAGACTTGTTCTTATTTCCCTTCTTCTTTCTCTTTTATATATGACTCTCCAACTAGACAGAGGTCTTAGGCCTGAAAAACAGAGGGCAGGTGGAATCTGGGAGAGCTATGTCTGATCTGGAAAACATCTCTTCTCTTTTCTTTTTTTCAAAAGAACTACAATCAAATCATCAGAAAAATATAATGTAAGCTTACTAAGGGTTTTAAGGATATAGGAAATGGAAAATGGAAAGTTGGGGCTTCAAGACGAGTTTTCTAAAAAGACAACATAATGCACCAATGCATTATAAATGTATTATAAAGACTTTAAAATTAGAAAGTCTTCTAATGTCTAAAAACACATTGGCTAGGGCTAAAATATTTCTATTAATTGGCTGTGGAGTAAAGTTCTGCTTTACTTTTTACTCTGCTTGTCATAAGAAAAAATGGCATAAAAAGATAGGTCATTCACTCAGGAAACACTTATATTAATTCAAACTACTGAGAAACATTTGGATAGGCTGTACAGAAGATCCAATGCAAAGAAACAAGTAATAAATTCCATAGCCATAAACATCAATGGAGTAACACAAACCCCATAAAAAGTATAGTTACCTTAGTGTATGTTGGTGCTGGGGTGAGAGTTAGGGAGAAGAGAGAGAGCTCAGAATATGTTTTACATCTGAATAATTACTGTCAATCCACTGTGTGCTGAGCCTAGTGCTGGATGGCACAAAAAGTACCAACGTTGAATTCAGAACTGGGGTCCTAATAGGTTAGGTTCTCATTTCTTATATTTACCTGAGATAAACTATTGAGGAACCAGTTTCCATTATACAATGAACAAATATATGTCAATAGACTCCAGCAATAATACAAGGAGATAAAGTAGAATTATAATTCTGGTACATTTAATGATATTCGTATAAATATTCTTGGATAAGTTGTTTATTTTCACTAAACTCAGGTTCTTATCTATAATATGAAGTCGAACAATGTTTCATTCCATGGGATATCTGTATCAGAAACACCTGATTCAACTATTAAGAATGTATATTTCCAGGCTCTCCCCCAGGCCTGAGAATAAAAAAGAACATCTGGTTTTGAGGCTTGGGAACCTGCAATCCAGGGAACTCATGCATGCTGAAATTTGAGATTACTCAAATAGATTTTCTTGAAATTAACTTCTTATACTATTCTGCTTTAGTTACAGGAGGTATATAAAGAGAGTTTTTAAAGTAAATTTAATTGAAATCAGTACACCAAATGAAAGTCTTAAATCAATTAGTATAATTGATTATCAAATTTATCATGCTAGAATAATCCCCTTTTTTGAAGCACTCCCCCAAACACTGTGACAAATGTGACTTCCCTGGCCACATTAATAAACTTTAGTTCACACTTTTCAAAAATGTTAACAGTTTGAAGATACAGGAAGTTCCATGGACAAGTACATTTGGGAGAGCTGGATGCAACAAACTACAACTTAGTATACTAGAGTGCTTTTCAGAGACAATAATAGAGAAAATGCTGTCTTTGGTCCCCTTCCTTACAACCCTCTGTTTCATACTAAGAATAGGCAACTTCTGAGGAACCTTATACAAAGCATCAATCTTGAACAATCTTATGAATTAATGGCACATTTTCACTCAAGAGGCCTGAACTGCAAGACTAATGCAACTTAAGACAAATTCCTTCTAGTTTAAAAGATTACAGAATCTCAGCTCTGAGATTTCAGTCTGTATTTACAAAGTTCCATGGCTTTTCAAAATGATTAAAACTTAAATGACTCCTTTCCCATATGGCACCTTCATTAATGACACTGACCATGACTTAGATCCCAGAATTTTATTTGAATCCACATCTATTAATTCAAAAACACTTACTGGAGCTTAGAATGTGCCAGGAATTGGAGATAGAAAGATGAACAAAATAGAGAAATTGTTTTTTGTTTTGGGGTTTTCTTTGGTGGGGAGGAGGAGCTAAACAATTATCATACAATATTATAAGTGGTTATAAGTATTATAATAAAAATGCTAAAGCAAAAAAAGTAAGAACATTAACTTATCTCCTCTTCACTCCCACAAAGATGTTGGGCACTGACTGAGATGCTGGAGATACAAAGCTGAGGAAAATACCATCACTTTCTTCAACAACAATAAAGCAGCTCATGATACTAAAACAAGAGAGGGAGAATTATCAAAGCAAATAGTTAATATCACTGAGAAGAAAGTGATGAAATTTGCTTTGGGCTCCAGTGAAACCTTCACAAAAGTAAAAATTTGGTTGATTATATATTGTATAAAGATATTTGCCATACAATTTTTTAAATTTTCATAAAGTATTGAGTGGGCGTGAAGCTACTTAAACATGAGCTTCACCGGTGGCTGGACATTAGGGAGGGTTTGAAGCATTCTCAGCTAGAAGTGCCTATACAAAGACACAGGGGCAAGACACAGCCCCCTATGTTGATAGTTCTACATGGTCTGTATGGTCAAAGCAAGAATGCAGAAGGGAATGGCAAGAGATGAGGTTAGATGGTGCTACAGGCTTTCTTGTTGGTTGCAAAGAACAGGGAACCACTCAAGATATCTCAAGAAAAGGGAAGTCAATGAAAGAATAAATGTAAATTAGAACTGGAACAACAAATTCAGTCAGTCCTAAGAACCAGTCCTCACTTCTCAAGGCATACCTGCTTATCTCTGCACTGTTCTCTCTCTCAGGAGACTTGATCTCTTTACTCATAGTTTCCATGTTCCCATAGTTTAGCTTACTCGTGACTCTTATTAACACCCCAGCTTCTACTTGGCTCATTTTATCTTCGCAATATTCATATTTTAGTTTCCATTTGACTAGAAAATCTTAGTATTTTGTATTTCAAGTTACAAAGAAATAATTTTATAAACCTGTGTTACTGATCTTCATCTGGCCATAGGTCAAAGGATCCTGGACAGCAAGCACTTTGGAAGCTCTTTGGTCAATAATCCAGAAATAATCCAAATAAAAGTAGCCAGAGAGAAATCAGTCATGTGGAAAAAAATATAGCTATGGCACCTTCTGAAATGACTTAGAATTTTTTTATTGAAGTATAGTTGATTTATAATATTGTGCTAGTTTTGGGTGCAAAAGTGAGTCAGTTGTACATATTTTTTTCAGATTCTTTTCCAGTATAGGTTATTACAAGATATTGAATATAGTTCCTTGTGCTATACAGTAAATGCTTGTTGTTAATGTATTTTATATATAGTGGTATGAATCTGTTAATCCTATACTCCTAATTTATCCTTACCATTTGGTAACCGTAGGTTAGTTTTCGATCTCTGTGAGTCTGTTTCAGTTTTGTAAATAAGTTCAGTCGTATTATTTTTTAGATTCCACATATAAGTGATATCATACAGTATTTGTCTGACTTACTTCACTTAGTGTGATAACTTCTAGGTCCAGCCATGTTGCTGCAAATGGCAACATTTCATTCTTTGTTAAGGCTGAATAATCTCTAATATTTAGGGATTTGTGGGATTCTCCAGCAACGTTCACCAGCCTTGCAGTAGAAATAGAGAAGGTGGTTTGTATAGCGTTGATCCAAAAGTTTGATGTTTCCTAGGGCAATATGGCAGAAAGACACAGAAGCAAGTAACTGAAAGTTGCAGGAGTGACCAGACTCTTGCAACTTCCTGAAACTTCTGGTCCAGACAGACTGGTCTTCTGACTGTCCTGAGACTAGGCCTTCTATTTCCTGACTGTTCATTCGCTTACAACATTCTAATTTGAATTTCTCTTCCCCATTTCAATTCTACTATTTAAGCTTCATTTCAAATGCTATCTTTTCTACAAAGCAATCCTTAATCTTCTCTTTCACCAAAACTAAACTTTGCTTCCAAATTGTTATTGCATCTAAAATTTTTTCACTATTTGTCAATTATTTCTTGACCTGCTATCAGATCCACAGACTGTTATGCCTGGTAATCACAGAGTACAAAGTAGCTCACATTTATATTGAGTCCTCACCATACTTTACCATGTCTAAGAAATTTCCAGATTATATATAATCCTATCAACTGCTATCTAAGACAGGAATTATTTTTAGAAACGTTTCAGAGGTGAAGTGGCAGAGGCAGAGGCTCTAATAAGCACCTCAGGTAGCATGCAACAGATGGAATGGCTCCAGCAATCAGACTCCAGTATTTGTCTTGACCAACACTCTACACAACTTCCCACAGACTTTTTATCGTATTGTCTTTTATTGTAATTTGGGAGGTTATAGTTCCCACTAAATTTCAGGCTCCTGTAAGGAAGGATTCAGGCCTTAGATCTGTTTCCCTTAGCCTCATAAAATGTGTGTTGCATATAATTGTTTCTCAACAAATAGTTATACAATTAATTAATGGTTCGGAGCCTGGAATCTCACTGAATTCTTGAAAGCAGGAGTAATAAAGAATTTTACAGGTAGTTGCAATGGAGCATTTCCCTCCATTTGAAGCTACTTCCAAATAGAATCTCTTCTATTAAGCAATTAAGGCAATTTGGCCTCCTCTGAAACCTATACTTCAAGAGTGAAGTTTTTGTTTGTTTCTCGTTTTTGCATTTATTGCTTATTCTAGGCTTCATCAAGTGCCCACATTTCCAGAAGAGAAGGAAAATTCTCTATTTTTTCCTTTATCTAATTTATTTTCTCAGGGAAATATATTACTGTATGATTGTTAAAAGTACACATACTAGTGTTTGAACTTTAAATGATAAAATTTAGAAATCTTTTTGATGTTTGTTTGGTTTTTATCTCCATAGCCCAGTGAGAATCAAAGTGTTCCCAGGGGACCACATCTACCCAGAGAGCAACCATCATCTCCTCTACCCTACAAGTCAAGAAGAGTTTTATCTTCTCTTTCTCCTCCCAATGGTCCAGGACTTGTTAGACCACCACCTCATCTTGGTCCTCGAGGGCACGTGCCACCTCCTCTTCCTCTTGGGAGAAAAGGGCAAGCTGCACCTCCTCCTGGTATGAAAAGGCGCCCTCTTCCACGTACTCCTCCTGGTACAAAAGGGCGCCTTCCACATCGTCCTGCACCTGGTACAAAAGGACACCTTCCACCACGTACGCCTGTTGGTACAAAAGGACAACTTCCA